GAAAAAAAAATCATCTGTGTGGGGCAAACTACCCATCATTGAAATACTTAACCTATAGGCAAATAATAACCTCAACCGTTAGAAATTGCTATCGTTGGATTTCAGAGGGGGAAGCTGAAGTTCAGGTCACTGTCCAGACTCTAGTTACGCTGTGTCTTTGTTCATCCCACCCCACCCACCCCACCTGGCCCAGGTAACCAACGGAAGGTGAATGTTTTCTAGCTTTTACCATGGCAGGCTTACAAATCACCTTTGAAAGTATCAGTTAGTGAGTCTCACTGTCTAACTTGACCCCAAAACTGGTAGGTAACTATTTCTTAACTTCATTACGCCTACAAACTATCTAATTGGGTATTTAAAATCACAAATATCAAGTCATTTCTAGTACTTAAAAATGAACGGTTAATCCTTTTCTTCTAGAAAATTGGTCTTTGTTCCGAACTTGCAGTTCCTTGGAGAGAGCCTGGGTCACGTGAACAGACCGTTCAGACACCAGGCAACTCTTCTCTGGCTGTGAAGTTTTCTTTTTTTTTTTCAGAGGCGAAAGCATCCCCCATGGGAAATGGTCACTCCACAATCCATTCATCTCCACAACTCCCTCTTTTCGGGATTTTTGGGCATGCATGCACACACCCCCAGTGTGTTTCTCAAGTTGCTGGGTTTGGAACTCCAACCATGCAGCTGGCCACGTGGGATCCAGCTGCCTAAACACCAGGTCATGCAGCCAGCCCTAGCTGTGAAGTTTTAGAATCACGCAACTAGCTCCAACCCCACGTACGTGAGTTGGAGGAGACTCAGTCTCGTCTGCTTTTCTCCATGTCCAGTGCCACTCTCAGCAGCCTCCACAATGGCCTGTCCCCTTTAACCATCCCCAGTTCACTACCCCACAGCTAGAGTGGTCCCCAAGTATACAATTTTTATCATGTGACCCTCGGTACTACCCTCTCCCAACCTCTCCATTGCTTTTAGGATCAAGTCCACAATGCTCACCGTGGCCAACAAGGCCCTGCTGGGATTCATTTGTCGTATATTCACTGCCATGTCCTTAGCACAGGGCCTAGAGCAAAACAGGCCCTCAGTAAGTGTTTGTGGAATGAATGAGTCGGTATATTAGTGCCTAGATTTAAGGAAAACGATATACATTCTTTTTTGTTTTAAAGAATTTTTAATTTTATTTGTTGTTACTATTATTATTATTGATAAGAGAAAGGGAAAGCGAGAAAACAAGCTCTCAGGTCTAGGACCCGAACCATGGTCAGCACCTTAAGTACCACGCCACCTGCCGGTCCACAGTAGACATTGTTTATGATAGAATACCTTTACGTAGCAAAATTGGGTTCTGATCTCACTCCATCACTTTCTAGCCATACAGGGGCATCAAAAATGTTTGTAGAAAAATGGAGTTAAAATGCGTTTTCATGCAAAAAAAACCTGAAAATCTGTGTGTGTATGTGTGTGTGTGTGTGTGTGTGTGTGTGTGTGTGTATTTTTTGTGAGAGGTATTTTGCTATAGGGCATATAGTTTTTTAAATATGCATTTTCCATGAATTTTTTGAAGACCCCCCCCAACTAATGTACTAAAGAATGCCTTCTCTGGGACCAGCAGATGGCATAGAGGTTAAGGTGCTGGATCCCACATGGCCAACCTCACGGTTAGAGTCCTGGACCCAGTGGCATGAAGATTACACGAGGCACGTGTGCTTGCATCCCCAAAGTCTTAAAAGAGTGGAAGAGAAGGGATCATGGTGTGACCATCCCCCTGTGTATGAGGGGGGTGATTTCTCGCCTTTCTTCTCCCTCCATCTCTCTATGGCAAAGACATGTGCCCTATAGCAAACTTTAAAAAAATGCCTTCTCGGGACCAGCAGTTAGCGTAATGGCTATGTCGCTGGACTCCCACGTAGTCGACCGCGGTTCGAGTCCCGGACCCGGTGGCTTAAACTCACGCCGGGCGTGTGTGCGTGCGTGCCCAAGATCCCAAGAGGAGAATGGAGGAGAAGGGATTGCGGCGTGGCCATCCCCCCTGGGGGGTGATTTCCTGCTTTCTATCTCTCTGTCTCTCTCTGTCTGTCTGGCGAGTGCACGCGCCGTATAGCAAAAACCTCTCCAAAAAAAAAAAAAATGCCTTCTCATGAGCTCTTGGGAAGATTAAATTAAATAATACAGTATTACAGGGCCTGACATATAGCATATTTTCAATAAATGTTAGTTATGGGACCAGCAGTTAGCGTAATGGCTATGTCGCTGGACTCCCACGTAGTCGACCGTGGTTCATGTCCCGGACCCGGTGGCTTAAAACTCACGCCGGGCGCGTGTGCGTGCGTGCCCAAGATCCTGAGAGGAGAATGGAGGAGAAGGGATTGCGGTGTGACCATCCCCTCTGGGAGGTGATTTCTCACTTTCTATCTCTCTGTCTCTCTCTGTCTGTCTGGCGAGCACACGCGCCCTATAGCAAAAATCTCTCCAAAAAAAAAAAAAAGTTAGCTATTATAACATTGTTGCTGTTGAATTATACTTCTATGAAAGAAGTTTTTTTTTTCTTGACAGGTATTTTTTGTTTTTTAATTTGCCAGAGGGTGCATGCATGAGACCAGGAGAAAGCACTCATGGGGAGTGGCCATGCCACAATCCTTTCTCAATTTTCCACTCTCCCAGGATTGTAGCCATTTGTGCATACTCGCCAGGTGTGTCTTTCAGCCCCGTCTCCCCCAGGACACTAACTGCTGGGCCAGCCATGTGGTGTCTAGCACTTTTAACCACTAGGCCAGGTAGCTGGGCACTGTCTTTATTACATACACATAAATGCGTGGAGAAAGGAGGGGCTGTTTTGCCACCTACACTGAATGACTTGTCTGTACATGGTCTAGGTTGTGGACTGCAGGGTTGGGAGGAATAGGTGCTAGTTTGTAATGTATCCTTTGCATTTGTGGGCAAAACTGCAGAGAAGGCTACGTCCATGAATGTGTGTGTGTGTGTGTGTGTGTGTGTAGGGCTGCTAACATAGCATGTGAAGAGGACCTGCTTCCTGATCCCACACCATGATTACCCTGGTATTTGACAACACAGTGCAAAACTTCTCTGCTCTGCAGCTGCAGGAGACAGTGAAATGGCTCTGCATGGTGTCAGAGTGGCTTTAGGATCCTGTTTGTCCTCTGGACAGTCTTTGGGTACCAAGTGTGGTAGGCTCTGCAGAGGGCATGGGTCGTAGTGGTGCAGGGGGGCCCCTGCCTAGGATGCGAACGCATGAGCTGACTGGGAGGCATTGTCCCCAGCAGTGCCCTGTCCCTTAATCCTACTCAGTCTTATACCTTCTGATGGGAGGCAGCTAAAACCGCAATGCGTGTGCGTGTGTGTGTCTATGTTACAAGGTGCCCTGGGTGGGTTATGGAATTCCAGGGTTTCGGATTTTACTGGGGAGGACAGTGAGGCCCAGACTGGGCCGGTGACTTGGTCGTGGTCACAACACACTTGTAGAATAATGCAGGGCTTCTCTGCCCAATCCTGACTCTCAGGACACCACCCAGGCAGTGGCAGTGGGTGCCTTGACGTGTCTTATTTGCATCTTTCTATGACTTTGCACAAATACAGTAAACCTGGCTGCGAGCCCTGGCGCCCTGATGGCTACAGCAGGATGGCGCAGGGCAGGGAGCTGTGCTGAGCCAGCTGCCGGTGTGGCTGGAACTCTGCCTACCTGGGACATTTTGTCATGGAGGACCGGAAGGGACAGGAGCACAAGGTCACTTCCTAAACCTTTCTGCAACACCATTTGCCCCACCCAGCCTCAGTTTCCTCATCTGTAACCCGGAAGGGCAGTGTTTGGGAGTGCAGGCCCTGGGACCAGCTGGCCCTGTCCGGTCCTGAGAACTTGGCCAGGCTCCTCACTTCTGAGCCTCCGCTTCCCCATGTGCAGAAGAGGGAGAATAATGGTGTCTACCTGCGTCGGGCTGGCCTGGGTTTGAATGAGCTAAGGTATGCCGGAGAAGCACTCAGCAAACTTACCATCACAACCCCGGGCTCTGCCTCCACGGCCTCCCACCGTGCAGTGCAGAGCGCCCGGGTTCTGTGGCCTGGGTAAACCCCTGCACAGCCTCAGAGCCTCAGGATCCCGGTCTCTTGCGCGGAGACCGGCAGACCTGGTGCCCACCGGCGTGCGGGAGGGTTAAATGCCTGTAAAGACGCTCCGGGGACGCAGCTCCGGGGACGCGCCCGGGCCCTTGCCTGTGGCGTTCGCCGCTGCTGCTTTCGCCTGGCACCGACCGGGCTCCCAAAATATCCGTTGAGCCAGTGGGAGCCGGAGCCGGGCGG